CGTTGTCACTGGTGTCACGAATTGTTGTCACTGCTGTCACTGTTGTCACCATTGTCACGGTTGTCACTTATTTCACCGGTTTAACCCTTTTCACTGTTGTCGTTTTCACTTTTGTCACTGTTTTCACCGTTGTCAGTGTTGGCACCGTTGTTTCCGTTGTCACTGTTTTCACCGCTGTCACTGTTGTCACCTTTGTCACTGTTGTTTCGGTTGTCACTGTTGTCACGGTTGTCACGGTTGTCACTGTTGTCACGGTTGTGACAGTTGTCACTGTTGTCACTGTTGTCACTGTTGTGATCGCTGTCACCATTGTCATCGTTGTCATCGTTGTCACCGTTTTCACGGTTGTCACTGGTGTCACTGTTGTCGCCCTTTTCACTGTTGTCACTATTGTCACTGTTGTCACGGTTGTCACTGTTGTCATCGCTGTCACCATTGTCACCGTTGTCACCATTTTCACTGTTGTCACTGTTGTCACTATTGTCAACATTGTGACCGTTCTCACCGCTGTCACTGTTGTTACCATTGTCACGGTTGTCATGCTTGTCACTGTTGTCACTGTTGTCACCGTTGTCACGGTTGTCACCATTGTCAGTGTTGTCACTGTTGTCACGGTTGTCTCTGTTGTCACCCTTGTCACTGTTGTTACCATATTCACTGTTGTCACTGTTGTCACCGTTGTCACTGTTGTTACCATTGTCACTGTTGTCATCATTGTCACTGTTGTCATCATTGTAACCGTTGTCACCGTTGTCACCGCTGTCACTGTTGTCAACTTTGTCACTGTTGTCCAGGTTGTCACTGTTGTCGCCCTTGTCACCGTTGTCACTATTGTCAATGTTTTCACTCTTGTCACGGTTGTCACTGTTGTCACGGTTGTCAGTGTTGTCACTGCTGTCACTGTTGACACCATTGTCACCGTTGTCACCGTTATCACTGTTCTCACTGTTGTCACCGTTGTCACTGTTGTCACCGTTGTCACCGTTTTCACGGTTTTCACTGTTGTTATCGTTGTCACCGTGGTCATCGTTGTCGCTTTTGTCACTGTTGTCACTGGTGTCACCGTTGTCATTGTTGTCACTGTTGTCACTGGTGTCACAGATTGTCTTGGTTGTCACTGTTTTCACCGTTGTGACGGTTGTCACTGTTGTCACCATTGTCACTGTTGTTATCGCTGTCACCATTTTCAGTGTTGTCACTGTTGTCACCGTTGTCACTTTTGTCCCTGTTGTTGGCGTTGTCACTGTTTTCTCCATTTTCACGGTTGTCACTGCTGTCACTGTTTTTACCGTTGTCACTATTGTCACGGTTGTCAATAGTGTCACCGTATTCACCGTTGTCACAGCTGTTACTGTTGTCACCGTTGTCACGGTTGTCACTGTTGTTATCATTGTCACTTTTGTCATCGTTGTCACTGTTGTCACGGGTGTCACCGTTGTCAATGTTGTTACTGATGTCACTGATTGTCACGGTTGTCACCGTTGTCACTGTTGTCACCGTTGACACCGTTGTCACTGTTGTTACTGTTGTCACTGCCGTCACTGTTGTCTCGGTTTTTACTGTTGTCTCTGTTGTCACTGTTGTCACTGTTATCACGGTTGTCACTGCTGTCACCGTTGTCCCTAATGTCACCATTTTCACCGTTGTCAGAGCTGTCACTGTTGTCACTGTTTTCACCGTTGTTACTGTAGTCACTCTTGTCACCGTTGTCTCGGTTATAACCCTTGTCACTGTTGTCACCTTTGTCACTTTTGTCGCTTTTTTTGCCGTTGTCACTGTTGTCACCATTGTCACGGTTGTCACCGGTTTAACCGTTTTCACTGTTGTCACTTTCGTCACGGTGTTCCCTGTTGTCACCATTGTGACTGTTGTCATCGCTGTCACCGTTATCACCGTTGTCACTGGTGGCACTGTTGTCACTGTTGTCACCGTTGTCACTGTTGTCACCGTTGTCACCATTGTCACTGTTGTTACCGTTGTCACTGTTGTCACGGTTGTCACTGTTGTCACCATTGTCACTGTTGTCACCTTTCTCACTGTTGTCACCGTTGTCACTGTTTTTACCATTGTCAGTGTTGTCACTGTTGTCACGGTTGTCACAATTGTCACTGTTGTCAGTGTGTCACTGTTGACACTGTTGTCACTGTTGTCGCTGTTGTCACCGTTGTCACTGTTCTCACTGTTGTCACCGTTGTCACTTTTGTCACCGTTGTCACCGTTGTCCCTGTTGTCGGCGTTGTCACCGTTTTTACGTTAGTCACTGTTGTCACCATTGTCAGTGTTGTCACTGCTGACACTGTTGTCACTGATTTTGCCGTTGTCACTGTTTTCACTTTCGTCACCATTGTCACTGTAAGTTATCACTTTTGTCACGGTTGTCACTGTTGTCACGGGTGTCACTGTTTTTATATGTGTCACTGTTGTCACGGTTTTCACGGTTGTCACCGTTTTCAATAATGTCACCGTATTCACCATTGTCACAGCTGTTACTGTTGTCACCGTTGTCACTGTTGTCGCCGGTATCACTGTTGTCACCGTTCTCACTGTGGTCAGTTGTCAATGTTGTCACCGTTTTCACTGTTGTCACTGTTATCACAGTTGTTACTGTTGTCACTGTTGTCATCGTTTTCACTGTGTCCACTGTTGTTACTGTTGTCACTGTTGTCATGGTTGTCACTTTTGTCACTGTTGTCACCATTGTCACTGTTGTCACTGTTACCGTTGTTGCTGTTGTTACTGTTGCCACCGTTGTCACTGTCATCACCGTTGTTGCTGTTGTCTCTGTTGTCACCGTTGTCACTGTTGTCACCGTTGTCACTGTCACCGTTGTTGCTGTTGTCTCTGTTGTTGCTGTTTTTACTGTTGTCACTGTTGTCACTATTGTCACCGTTGTCACTCTCTGTTGTTGCTGTTTTTACTGTTGTCACTGTTGTCACTATTGTTACCATTGTCACTAATGTTACTGTTGTCGTTGTTGTCACTGTTGTCGGCGTTGTCACCGTTGTCGCTGTTTTACTGGTGTCACTGTTGTCGCTGTTTTCACCGTTCTCGCTGTTGTCACCCCTGTCACCGTTGTCGCTGTTGTTACTGTTTCACTGTTGTTGTTGTTGTTGTTGTTGTCGCTGTTGGCACCGTTTTCACCGTTCTCGCTGTTGTCACCCCTGTCACCGTTGTCGCTGTTGTTACTGTTGTCGCACTGTTTTTGCTGTTGTCACTGTTTTTGCTGTTCCCGCGGTTGACAGTGTTGTGAGTGTTGTTACTGTTGTCGCGGTTGTCCCCGTTTTCGCTGTTGTCACTGTTTCCACAGTTGTCTCTTCCTGTTTCTCTGTTTTCTTTTGTTGGTCCTGTTTTTCTGGGTATCCCTCTGTCCCTGTTGTGCGCACGAATCTTTGGACGAAGTTTTGAACCAACCTCCAAGAGAATTTTTTGACAAATTTTTTGACAAATTACCGGAAAGTTTTTCGGTAAATAATAAAAGACACTCTCCTAGAGTTTTTACGGAAAGTCCTTTTCTTGGAGCTGGGGTGAAGAATTTATGGCTTAAAGACAACTGGTACGATAGGGAACATATACAACACACTTAATGTTTGTTAGAATTCTTCTAGTGGTCTTGGAATGTGTATGTTTTTTTAAGGGGCACCTAGCGATTTTTTTCTATAAAATAAATGTTCGAAGGAGCAAATATTGCCTAGAAATTTCTAAAGCTTGAGAAAAGCTAAAAGTTTCCGGATATTCGTTCCATACGTCTAAAATATTCGGAGGTTTTGTAATAGCTTAATTTTCGGAGGTTGTGTTATTCACATTTTAATACCAAAGTATTGCGATTATTGTTAAAAAAAGGTCTCCTAAAACTTTCGGTCTAAAGACAAAACGTCCCCTATAATTTTCTAACGAAAGCAACGCTACTTCATGTCCTTAAACTTTCGACCAGACCCATCAGGGTAGCTAACACTTTCGGATGCGACGAAAAAGCACCTAAAACTTTCGTGACGACCAAAGTTCCCCTAAGACATCCGAACAGATAAAACGTTTTTCGGGCAACTCCAAAGTAACCAAACAGGCTTCTAAAGCATAGGGAAAACCATCTGAGACACTTCTGGCGTATTTGGAAACATTTGGTCGTTGGGTGCCCATGTTTTTTCTAGGGTGACAAAAGGTATGCAAAAGAAATATAATAATCAGTAAAATGCAATACCTTCCGATACAATATCTTCTAAACATTTTATTTTTATCACATAATAAGCCAAACAACATTTTAAAAAATACAGATACAATAACTTTTCAGTGCAAAAATGGTCTTTTATGAACCATCTACGTAAAATGACGCTAATTCTCAGTCCGTCATTTCATTAGTTCTGACTTGTAACCATATTTCAGGATATTTCAGTATTTATAAGTATTAGTGAAAGACTCACTCACTAGCCTTTTAGAGTACTGGCTGTCAAAAGGATTGCAGCTTGGAAAAAGTTTTAACAGCCCCTCACCAAACAGCTAATCAAATCCACATACCACGGCACTTTTAGAAATCTGTTATGAGGGACAAGGTGTGTCTTCTTTTGAACCCATGAGGCATCAAACCCTGACTCCAGTGCCCTGTACCATAGAGCATAGAGTAACCTAATGATGCAGCTTTTATGCAGTCTGTAGTGGGGGGGAGACTCCGCATATGAAAGGGGTGGGGATGCTCGTCCGAAATTTTGAATTAAACCCCTAAAGAAGACCGATCTGGGCGTGGCCCAAGCTTTTTTTGACCCCTAAAAGTAACCATGTTAAAACACAGACAATATACATATTTTTATATTTTTTCGCGTGCAACCCTAAACGAGACCTTCACGGCTAAATATGATGGCGTTTTGCCCAGAACACCCTAAGTGAGACCAAAATAAGACATTTACACCCCTAAGCGCGACGACGAGCAACCCCCCCCCTTTCATATGCTAACCCCCCCCCCCCCTCCCCGGGCTGTAGTCACAAAAGTCAGTGACTAAATAGAAACGTAACTATCCCGTCAAATTATCATCCCAGGAGTCCCTCATTAGTTCTCTTCTACTTGTCTGATGCAGTAACATGGCCTTTAGTTTAGGTGGTGGCAAGACAACATATCTGACTCCTTTATCGTCGGGAACATTATCGTCTCTTGAACCACATGCACAGCTTTTAATGAACAGATCTGTGTCGATCTCCTGCGCTGTGTACATGAACTGTAATATGGCGCCGACTGCTGACATTAATAACCATCCAAGGAACATTGCTAATGCTGGAAAAAGGGTGTGATAATGATCTTAAAACCCTCACTTTCAAAATGGATCGAGCCAAATGCAACATCTCTTTTGAACATGAGTTTTAACTGTATGTGAATAGGTCATTTTCATAAACAACACTTTGTACACAGCCCTCTCTCAAAATGTAGGCTTACGACTCCTCGGAATTCGGAAACGGCCTTAATTTCTAGGCTCAGGGGAGGAGTGGGGGGTCATTTCCTAACCAACGGTTGGTAATTGGGCCTAACTCACAATAAAGAGATAGTAAAACAAGGAATATATTATACGGTACACAATAATAATGCATATTGAAAGGAAAACAAACTATGTCTAAGTGTGAAAAGTCTTGGACTTTACTTCTGACCCTGCGAGCTTAACATTCTTGGGAGTAGTCGTGTCTTGTCTTACCTTGATCAGTAAACTCTTCACGAGCCTCATGAAACTCCAGTTTAACTCTAGAGGGTGTGATGGCTGCCTGACTGAGTGCATCCTTTGTTTTGAACAGAATTTGTTGGATCAAGTGAGTAAAAGCAGTCCTGCAATAGTGATCCAGACCTAAGAAAGTTATTGAACCAAATTTTTTAGTGCATCCCAGATAATCAAGGGAAATCCCAAGGGAAAAAAGCACCTTAAGGAAGGTCATTGGAGGGCATCTTGAAGGCCAAAATATGCCAGGGAAAGACTGAATCTAAACTCTAATTTCCACTGAGAGGGTTGGTGGCTGGGGCGGAAAGGGGAAGAAAGGGTCAAAGCAATAACTCTCTCTCTTCAAGGGAGTATGAATTTTTTATGAAGCAACACATGCAGTCATTACTAACCAAGAAGAAACATCATAGATCCAGTAAACGAGGTGGCAATAACAACGAACACCTTCTCAAGCCAAACAGCAACCACTCCAAATGCAAGACTAGTGCCAGCATATATACCATAAAATGCCAGGTCACTGAAAATAAAATCATACTATTAGAAAGTACAGTGTTAACACGGACAAGTGAAGTGAAAATTATTTTCTTTATTCTGTTATTCAAGCCTACCTTGACAAGTGTTTTGATATCGCGAGAGTGACCACTACAACAGAAAGAGCCTGTAGGTGTGGATAACAACAGGAAACTCTGGATTAGTGTTTGTCCAAACAGTAAATGGCTTGCTAATTATACACCCAATTGCAAAAATTAAAATCGTTGTCATAGAAAAATGAAAAAAGGAAAAGCCAGATAGGAATTAATTCCGGTAATTTTAACACATTCTCATGGTGGATTCATTTGCAGCTGTTGCAATTCCCCAAAAGAATCTTCAGTTTTATTGTCTTTCACCTTAGGCTTCTTAGCCTAATTAATTCCTATTTGGCTTTTTCCTTTTTTTCACTTTTCTAAGACAATGTTATTGCAATCAGGTGTAAATGTTAAAATAAATATCCACATCAGCAGCAAGTGCTTCATGATTTTCATGGTGTAGACTGAGTAATTTTGCTCATCAGCAGGTGACGGCAGTTTACCTGTCTGTACCAAGGTACGGGAAATTCTGGTATTGCCTATAACCACAAATGTCTGACATCAGACACCTGACATCAGATGTCTCACATCAGACAACAAACATCAGACATCTACATCACACATTTGACATCAGACATCAGGCAAAGAAATTATACGACTGAAAGCAGATGTCTGACATCAGACAACAAATATCACACATCTAACATCAGACAACAACCATCAAACGTCTGACATGAGACATCAGAAGTCTAACATCAGCATCAGATATCATACATCAGACGTCTGACCTCAGACATCCGAAATGAGACATCAGACGTTTGACACGAGACATCAGATGTCTGAAATAAGACAACAAACATCACACATCTGACATGAGACATCTGACATCATATGTCTGATGTAAGGCGTCTCCCATCAGACAACAAATAATAGACTTCAGACATGAGACATCAGACTTCTGATATCAGATGTCTGACATCAGACATCACAGAACAAACATCAGACGATGTCAGACGTCTGACACAAGAAATCAGCTGTCTGACACGATCAGGATATCACACGTCTGATGTCAGATTTCTGTTATCAGACGTCGGACGTCTGATATCGGGTGTCTGATATCAGACATCTGATAACAGTTGTCTGATATCAGACGTCTGATACCAGATTTCTGTTATCAGACGTCTGATATCAGGTGTGAGATGTCAGACTTCTGATGTCAGATGTCTGATAATCAGACATCTGATAACGTCTCATGTCAGATTTCTGTTATAAGATGTTTTATTTAAGACATCTGATGTCAGACGTCTGATATCAGATGTCTGATGAGAGACGTCTGATGTCAGGTGTCTGATAACAGGTGTCTGCTATCAGACATCTGATGTCTAATGCCAGATTTCTGTTATCAGACATCTGACGCCTGATTTCAGATGTCTGGTTTCAGGCGTCTGATTTTAGATGTCTGATTTCAGACGTCTGATTTCAAAGGTCTGATGTCAGATTTCTGTCATCAGATGTCTGACGTCTGACTTCAGATGTCTGTTATAAGACGTTTGATGTCAGACATCTTATGTCAGACATCTGACGACAGACAACAAACAGAAGGCTAGCTAGAAATCAGACAACAAATATCAGACATCTGAAATCAGATGTCTGACATCAGACGACAAACATCAGACATCTGATATCAGACCTCTGATATGAGACATCTGACATAAGAGAAGAAACATGTTGTCAGCTGATGTCAGAAATCTGATGTATGATGATGATCTTGAGGCTCTGAGTGATAAATAACACATTTCTTCATTTTACTCCCCCATTTCTTGGAGAGAACTCAAATTTTAATATATCGAAATCGTCCTTTTACATGGAGAGAGAGATGTCTGGAAACGACACAATACAGTCAACTCTTGTCTTGCTGACACCTCGCTGTAAGGGACACCCAGATAAAACAGAAAGTAGCTAAATCCTCAGCAAAAAAAATCACAGATGTTTGACTGAAACAAAGTCCTTCTATTACAGACTCACTCTAAAGAGGCTGTACTAACTCGTAGGTCTCCACAGTGTCTGCTATGAAGCGAGTTGACTGTATTTGTAGGATATTACTTACCCATCCAATAATGCAGCCCATACAGAAAACACCAATCTTGTAAACATAGCAGGCCAATGCACCAGCAAGAAGTCCACAAATAATACTGATGGAGACTCGTACTGACAAGAGAAAAATATATAGGTAAGCATTGCTCCTTCACAAAACATAAACAGTAAAATTGCAAGCACAGTCCTGTGGATGTGTATGTTACTGGGCAAAATTAAATTCAGGTTAAAATTTTCTGACCTTGTTTGATTCTTAATTTCCATTGTCCCCTTGCACTAAATTATTATTCATGAATTAGGGCAAGGAGACAACAGAAAGGGAGAATCAACCTAGGTTAAAAAAATATAACCTGCAAATAATTTGATCTGTAACATTTACCTTCTAAATTGTGGTTTCCATCACAGCAGAATTCTGTGTCTACTACATCAGGACTGAGGAAATAAAACCCAAACCCAGCAAAAGCAAAGGCCGCGACGATAACTATCGGCTATAGAAACAAACAAAATTAAGTAAGTTATAATAATATTGTACCTTGTTACTTCTCAGGCAGCTCACAACACATATATTAGTATTTTTCTGTAAATCACCAATCAGTCTTTTTATTTTTGTTTTCACTGACAAACATGGAGGTGGCAAATGGTCTTCCCACATGTAAGTCTTACAAAATTTTAGCCAAATTTCAAGTGCCTCACTATCTTGTATGTTTATTTGTTTTTCACTGTTGGTCTTGCAGTCTTGAGTTTTCACAAAGCCACCACAAAGTTTCATTTTTTGCAAGGCTAAAAAGGACTCAATGTTTTAACTTTTGTTTCTTTTCACGACTACTTCTCTCGAATGTCACTGAGTAGACAGTACTCCATATAAAATAACACAACTTAAAGAAAGAAGCCTATTGTGAGTTAATAGAGTTTATTTGACAATAATATTTGACTGATAATTAGTTTGAAAAGAACTCGGCCAGCTTCAAATCCTAGTTTTGTGTGGGGTTGATATATTAGATATTTTCTGCGACTACACATTAATTTTCAGTTTTGCATGAATCTACTGAGTGGTGGCTTTACTGAACTCTGCCTTCTGGAGGTCATCTGTTATGTATGAGGCCCTCATAGGACTGGGAGGTACGTATGTCCCTTTTCTGAATTTCCATGTCCCCGTCAGTATTTAACCCTTCTTTATGTTGCCTCAAAGAGTATAGTAGCAAAGGTGAATGGACGCGTCAGTCTAATCACGTGCATGACATCACAAGGAAGGGGGGGTACTACTAATTACCGAATAGCTTTCCCCTTGGTATAAACACAGAAGTGGTTATGCATACAGCAAAGTACTAAACAACTGATAGAGAGCACTATGAGAAAACATAAAAATACTATTTGCCAGCAAATATTTCCTTTATGTCATTTGTCGCCATTTCATCTAGTTTCAAGGCCATGTTGCTTGTCAGAATTTTTCCCTAATTGGACTTCATGAATGATCTAACCTGTACAGAATTTAATAATAATTAAATTCATTTCTACCTTAATGAGTCGATACCCTAGAATCCATACAACAAGGCCAAGCACTGACAAGACTAATACACCCACTGGGTGAGTGTACCTAAGATAAACAAGAATAATTATTATAGTAATTTAAAAGATCAGAAAACAACTTTTATTTGAGTCAACACACACTGCTCTTCTGCGAAAACGCAGTTTCTTCCCAAATCAAAAAATTTAAACTAAAATTTGTATAAATGAGGTTGTTTATCAGAAGTTTGTCTTCAAACTAAACCTATAAATGAGTCAAGAGATGAAAGGAATACACAGTGGCCTTTAACTTCCTGTCAGATTCATCCATATTTTATGCCTGAATTTTTGGCTAACTGTAATATGGTTTAACCCACAGAAAAATTATAAAAGATTGATTCTAATACTAGTGCAATCAATTCCTCATAAATAAAAATTTTTTATCTAAATCTAGTGTAGAATGAATGCAATGGGCTGAGTATTTTCAGTGAAAACAAGAAATAAATTGACTACAGTATGCCTGCAATACTCTTGACACATGTTTTAAGTACAGTTGAAACGCCACTAACAGCCACATCTCTACAATGGCCATTTTTTTGGGCGGACAAGTCATACACTGACTCGTGCTTAAACCTCTCAACAATGGCCACCTCTTTACAACGATGACTTTCTTCTGTCCCCATGGTGGCCATTATGAACAGGTTCAATAGTTACTTTTGGTAGGGTATTTACCTTCCATTTTCTAAATGTAAGCTTACATGTACACTGTTCGATTGTTGAAAGCTTGCCCTTTTCATTTGTTTCTGCCTTTTAAAAACTGCTCTTCTAATAAGATGAGTCAACTTACAAAACAAAACAAAACCGTGAAGATAACAAATTATAGAGATTTACCTAAGCAACGTATATTGGTACAAGTAAGCGATGCAGAAGAAAAAGAACTAAGAACACACAATAGCGAGGAGGAATTAAAGTAATTAAAAGCTTTCTCATAAGATGGAGACTGGAAAATTGCTTTAAGCCTTTTTAAGGATCAGTGATGTTTACATTTGTATCCAGTCACAGAAACTTGCCATTTGATAAGTACGTTAAACAGCTGACCAATATTCTACATTAGAAATGGAAAGTTTAGTACAAAACCAAACGGTAAACGACAAGTCAGATGAATTAAATTTGACAAAAATGGCTACTATAGATAATCAAAAATTCAATACATTGATGAAATAACTTACCCGATATAGGGCTTACTTGATGAAAGCCATCGATGAAAAAGTCCATGGTCGGTGTTGTTCTTCAGTGTATTCATGTTGTGTTCTCATAATTTGTGGGAACAGGAAATTTCGGCCAGAGTTTGCGATGAATATGCACAGAACCATTTGCATATAAAAATAGCTTTAAACAGCGATTGTATTCCAATGTAGGTGTCAACATCTTGAGAGATTTAGTACAGAAACACTCAAAAAAATTCTTTCGAAGGTTTGTAAGTTTCCAAGGCAAAAGACAAGTTTTTTAGTACGTTATGTAATCCACATTATACTGTCCCAAGTAAGCGTTCGGTCACTGATTTCATCATGTAAGAAACGCTATACGTCTCAAACTTATGTAGCTACGGTTTTATACGGGTTTACAAGGATATTCGTTGGTTATGCACCTGCAGGCAAGATGTGCCAGGATTGCGTAAAAGAAAAACATCCTCAGCGGGTAAATAGTCCGAAAAACAATTTAGGTTTGCTTATTAAAAAATGCTTAACATGTTTTATATAAAAAAGATCCTACGTGCTGCCATCAAAAAGTTTATTAATTATAAGCTTCATATATATTAAAGCTCTCTAAATCTTTACAGCAGGGACTGGAGATTTAGGACTGATGAAACAAATCAATTCTTATGGCTCATTCAATAGACCTCTTTAGCTTGTCTTTTGAAGGGACTGAAATTTGAAATTTGAAAATTGAAATTTGAAAGAAACAATTCTCTAAAATCAGATAATTCAGGAAAATTAAATGGTCTTTATAGTCTTTTTATTTTCTTTTGGTTGGGTGGTTATTCGAGTGGTTTGTTCATTCAGCCAATCAAAATATTGGGTGTTATTCTTGTTCATTCAAAATATTTTGCTGTTTCTGATTCACTGCTGATTGGCTTCAATACCGCAGCTAATCCCTCATAACCAGCTAGTGCTTACCATATTTCAGCAATTATTATATACCATGGTATATTGCCTTTTAGTAAAATCCGACTAGTGGTCTATTATCAATGCTGCATTCTGATTGGTTGAGCTACTACTAAGCTAGATGTTATAGCCCACTAGTAGCCAAAAGCGCCGGCTTTGATAAACCAAAACAATGGCAGCTGAATCTTGTTTTGCTAGCTAAAGTTGTTTTGTCTCGATATTTTTGACCCACTAGTTGGATTTTACTGAAACAATATTATTTCTCGAAGCCAAATGGCCTGAGTCAATAGCCCATTCAGCCTTTGACCTCATGGGCTATTGACTCAAAGCCCATTTGGTAGCCTGCGAAAACATCCGTTTCTCCTCGCTCTTTGCCACTGGGGACGTTTTGCGTGGAGGAACGTCTGCGACTCATTGACAGAAATTCCATACTGATGGCGTAAATCAATGTTTACATAATAAATCCAGTAGTCATGGGGTTCCAAATACAAATTGGTTTAATTTTACTTGTCTTCTGGTCGATTTTGGTTAAGTTTTGCGTTTATCTGCCAACGAGTTCCAGCAAAACTCAAACACTTCTTCTAGAGAAGAGTATATATTCAACAAATATTGAATTCTTCGCGTTTACATTTGACCTTTGTGGCCTTTTGTCTTTTGCCTATCATTCGTAAACAAAAGCTAAAATAATGTAACCACTCCGTCGACCAATCAGACCGGATTCCGGACAGATTTTACGTCATCAGTATGGAATTTCTGTCGCTGAGTCGCAGACGTTCCTCCTCGCGAAACGTCCCGAGCGGCGAAGAGCAAGGAGAAACGGATGTTTTTGCAGGCTACCCATTTGGCTTTGAGGAACATCAACCTAATATCCAGATGCCGCAGCCTAGCTGTTTATTGGACACTAAAAAATGGTGATCGCTGGGTACTGGCCAACTTTTTTAAATTCAGTGTGACTTTTTCGTAGGGGTCTGATATCCAAAGAGGACTGAAGATGTTCTGAAAATGTTCCGAAGAGTTCTGTCTAACACAACTACAAGAACACATAGTCCTGAACACAACTCTCCAGTGGCTTTCCCTACTAAAATAAGAGTTTAGAGAAAGTCAATCATTTTCATAGACTTTTCTTTTCTTTCATTGGTCCGTTAATGTTGTAATGCCTCAAACATTTGTACCAAAAATGAGAAATTGGAAGACGGGTGTGAGTAGACATGGGATCAAAGTTTTTGATCAAGTGTCACAGGCGTGACACTTGGAAGGTATATCACTGCTTTCTCTTGATGTGGTCAACTACCTAGTGTTCAGACTAGTACATGTCTGTATATTTTAGGGCACCATCTGTTTGGAGAGTGGTTCATATCTGATGAACTTTGCATCCTGTATAGCTTGTGGTAGAAAAGAACCTCTCAAGATTACAGACAAGTCAACTGAGGAGGATGAAGATGGCGAGGAACTGATAACTTATAAGCGTATGTTTGTATTTCACTTAGATAAGACATACAGCTTGTATACAAAATATTAAATGACAACACTGCTGTCAACTCTCCCGGATAATCCGGGAGACTCCCGATTTTTAGCCGTTTCTCCCGGTCTCCAGATTAGAAATCTCCCAGATAATTCCCTAACTTTGTTATTTCTTGTAGATTTGACTTTCTGTCAATGAAATTTCAAATATTTTGCGTTGTTTGAGCTTTTAACTTTTAACACTGAACGTTTCCTCAGGAACACCGCTATGTCATTGTAATATAAGTAATAATGTGTTTGGTGGAAAGTAAACCAATCAGGTACAACTGTTACAATTCCAACAACATCTTTTTCACATGTTTTTTTGCACAAATGACATCATGTTTGGTTCATTATGATATCATCTATTATCCCTTCCCTGTCAGTTCTCATTATTTGAAGATTTGGGGGGTTGACAGCCCTGCGACAAATTAATCCTGACAGAAAGAAAGGACCAAGTGAACTAAATGATGAAAAAATGTGTATATCTATTTTCAAAAAACCCTTGTAGATTTTGATTCTATGTGTATTTTGAATTTTATTTTCATAATAACTGTTGGAGCTTTACAATTTTTTTGCAGATGTCTGTCCAAGCTGTGATCACATTGTTGCTTCTCATGAATACACATTCAGAGTTGAGGGACAATACCAGGTATTTCCAGAATTAAATAATATTATTAGTATTCCAAGTCATCGAAAGTCATCTCACTTATCCCAGTTATCCAAGCAGGAGCAAATTATATCCCACAGTCATCCGAGTCATTTCATTCTTCCCATTCATCCCTGTCATACCAGTCATCCTAGCTAGTCATCCCAGTCTTCCTAGTCATCTCAGTCAACCCAGTCATCCTAGCTGGTCATCCCAGTCATCTTAGTCGTCCTAGTCATGATAATCATACCAGTCAAGTCAGTCATCCAAGGCAACCCAGTCATCCCAAACCTCCTACTCATCCCTGTCATACCAGTCATCCTGATCACCCCACTTCCAAGTCATCCTACTCATCCCAGGCATTCCTGTCATCCTCGATCATCCTAGTCATCCTAGCCATGCCAGTCATCTCAGTCATACCAGTCATCGTCAGTCATCCTAGTCATCCCTGTCACCCCAGCCATCCCTACCATCTCGTCATCCTCAATCATCCTAGCCAGGCCAGTCACCCCAGTCATACCATTCATTCTCAGTCATACCAGTCATCCTAGTCATCCCTGTCATCTCAGTCATCCTCAGTCATTCCCAGTCATCTTAGTCATCCCAATCCAGTAAACCCAGTCATCCCTGTCATGATAGTCATGCTAGTCATCCCAGTCATCCTTACTTATTGAAGTTATCCTAACCAGTCATATCTAAGTCATTCCCCAGTAATCCTAGTCATCCCAGTCATCTTAGTCCTCCCAGTCATCCAAGTTATATCTCAGTCACCTTAGTCATCCTAGTCATCCAGTTTATCTTAGTCATTCCAGTCATTCTAGTCATCCCAGTCATCCTTGTCATGCCAGTCACCCCAGTCATTGTATTCACGCCACTCATCCTCAGTCATCCTCATCCTCATCCTGGGCAGTTATTCTAGTCATCCCATTCATCACAGTCATTTCCTGTCATCCCAGTTATCCTCAGTTATCCCATTCATCACAGTCATTCCCAGTGATCCTTGTCATCCTCATCTTGCCAGTCAGCTTAGTCACCTCAGTGAAGCCAGTCATCTTAGTCACCCTACTCTATATCATCATCACCATTTTCTAATGATAGTGACAGAACCTTATGCAAGGGGAGCAGTTACAATAACTACAAACATGGAGAATTTATTGCTGAATTTTACAGTACAAAAAAGAAACTTTATTAAATACAAGATGGCTCGCTGGATCTTAATCAGGATACTTACAGTAACATATAAGCTGTATATTGATGTGTTACCTAATGTGTTAATGTTAAAAGTACGGAGACCTTCTATCTACAAGGTCTTAGTTGTTCAAAGTAAATTATTGCTATCTGCTGGAAAGTAATTTATTTGATGAATACGGCAATAAATAATATTTGTTTGAACAACTGGCGCCAGTCTGTTAATGGTCCATTTCCATCATTTTTTAAAGAGGGGAATGCGTTTTGCTTTGATCTTTTTTTTTTCTTAATTAGCGTAAGTCATGGTCCTCGATGACGGGAGTGGGGTAGATATTTTTTAATGGAAATTTCCTCCTAATTAGTAATGTTTTCTTTATTTTACAGGAGTACATGATGACTTGCCTTCTCTGTGGTACAGCAGCAGATTCTGTTAGTATTTTACCTGAAGACTCTAACAGGACAAACCATCTATTTTAACTTTTTGTACACACCACTAACAGGACCCTGCTCAAAACAGATCTTTTAACATAAATGAAGCACCATCATATTTTTGTTAGAGGCCTTCTCTAATTGTTTCTGACTAGAGCTGTAACTTAAGTATGGTTTTCCACTGGCCGAGGAACGAAAGAAACAGAAAACTTTTTTCCACCACACGACTGGGAGTATGGGTTCGGGTGTGCGGGGGATCTTCAGGTCACATGGTGTTTCAGAGTTCAGTAGTTTTTGTTGCCTTCCACCATTGCCTGACCTGCCCCACCCACCCACCGTCCATGTGTTTTTTGGGTTTTTGTAGGATTTCAAGTAGTGCCTTAGTTCAGGTTATTCTTGTATGTTAATCTTGTACCTAGGCTCAGTTTCAGCCATTTTGTTAGCTCTCTTTTTGGGCTGTAACACTAATAAATGATGTAATAAAGGTTGGGCTGCATAGTCGGCATGGCAAGGCTCCCAGTTGTGTTTGAGAATTAGTAATTTTCGTCTGTTATTTGCTGCCAAAAATTAATTTTGTCCATAGAATTTACATTCAAGAACAGTCATTGTTATCAAGAGGAGCAATAAAACTGTACATAAGGTTATACTAATTTCAGCATCAGTCTCATTGTACAACAATACTAATAACAGGCTTTATGATACTCTCAGGGAATTAATAATATTTGTAGTCAGTTTACTGTTAATTTGCATGGAATCTTGAGACTATTGAGAATTTTACAGTCACCATATTATGCAATGTTGTTGTTAGTTAACACTAGCCTGAGTATCAGGCCTTCCTACCTAAGGGGCTGGGGAAGAGGAAATTTTGCTCTCCCCCTTTTTCGCTTCAATCTTCCCCTTTTTCCCCAGAAACGCCTGATGCTCAGGCTAAGTTAACACATGAGTCTTTTTAAACCTTAAATTTGTTGAAATACCACATGAATGCAAACATCAATCCACCTGGTTTATGCTTCGAAGCATCAAACAAAAATTCGCGGCTTTTTTCTAGAGGTAAATAAAACACATCTATCATTTCCCCTTCCTGAGTATTTCCACCTCCTTTGGTCACACACATATCATCTGTCACTTCAGCAAAGAACAGGGTCTGCAAGGCACCGGTGCTTCCTACACCCGCACGGAATGAAGCAACTTCTTGCAAGTTCTCTTCAGGGACATCATAGCCACATTCCTCAAGAATTTCCAGCTTCATTAGGCTTGGTAAGCTCATATTTTTATCAATGATTCCGGCACATAATTCATAAGTTACTCCTTCAGTGAATGGGGCGGTAATAGGGACCGATACATCTTCAGTCGTCATGGAAATGGCACTACCATCATTCAGTGTTTTCTTGTGGAGACATCTGTTAACATGCATGTAGACAGCTAGGAGGGAAATCAAAATTACCTGTAAGGTTTCCATTTACATAAATTTCAAGCCATTATCAATGTATTTTTTAATGTAAACAGGTGATCCAACAAGTCAGGCGCACCCAATGTCAATTTTTGGAAAATTACCTGTTTGGAAGACGGTTTGAGATCTAGAATTTTCAGACCAGATGTTGTAAAATTTCTTGCTTGCCTGCTTCTCCTAGGATTTTCGAACATCTAAAACTTGGTATAATTGCCCATTTTTAACAGATTTTTATCCTAAAAAGGTAAGCTAGCTTTTTCGCGAGCCTTTTTTCTGGCTGAAATTTTCAAAAAGGTAAGTTTTGATCCCCAAAATTTCCGGATCATTAGACATAGAAAAAATATGCCCCTATCCACCGTTTAAATACTAAAATATGTTTAATTATGCTATGTTTAAGTGGTTTTGAACTATATTCTCATTGGGTACCCGTGACAAGTCAGTGAACTAGTGAATGTTAGCAATAATAATGAGATTGTTCTATGGGAACATAATAAAATGATTACACAACCATTCATTGTTTTCAAATTGCCCATAATACATCTTGTTTACCTTCCAAAATTTTGCAAAACTATGGGCATTTTGGTTATCCATTTTCTCTTGGGATGACTGTAATACCCAGGAGATACTAACAATGGTTACACAAAATTTGGGGGGCTAATCAAGGTGTATTATGGGCATCTTACATTTTTTTATTTATTATTTACTTAGCAAATTGTAAATTACTGTGCTTTTTAATAACACCCCAACTCTGAAATTCAATAGCCAGCTTAGAATTGTGTTTTTTCTGCTGTTAATCATATTACTATCACAAGCAATGGACCTTGAAACACAGAAACACAAAATTGATCAAAATCCACCAGTCCCAAATCAAAAACCATAAAACATTTAAACTTGTTGAAGAAAAAGTTCTGTTTCCTGAGAGGTCGGCTAAGATGATTGACAGCAGCAAAGAACAAAAACATTGGTTGGCTTTTGAAGGTCACAGTTTGTGAGTTATTGAAAAGTGCAGTAATCTAACCCAGCTGTCACATTGTCAACTTACCTGGTCTAAACTGCTTCACCAGTATAAAAGCTTGCCTTGTTGTGTTGAATAGCAGTGCACACACACTGTAAGAAGGAAACACACAGTCATCAGGTTTTTTACACCATGAATTTTTCTTGCAAACATTGTCTAGGAACTGCTGAACCTTTCTTATTGAATTGAATACTGAAGAGACTTAAAGAGTGTTGTAACCAATATGTATGCCTTTATAATCATTATTAACAGAATGAGATCTTAACGTGTAAAAGTTGTGTTTCCTTTGCGGCATTTATGGTCACCCATCCTTAACCAACAGGGCTAACAATGGCACAACATCGTCTCTGGGGGCTGCCGAATATAGCAGTGTCACCACCATATCAGAAAACAGAAGACCCTGGAGACAAGGTTGACTATGGCATATATAATACACTGTTGATCTGTGACGCTGTGTTTTATTGGTATGATATTATTATTGGTAGTACTGCATGACATTGAGTAGTTCTTTCAATGCACTTGAAATTTATATGATTGCACCTATGTACATGTACAAAACATATAGTAAACTAAAGATACATCTTAAATAACATTACCAGTATTCTAACTCGAGTCTGATTTCATTTTATTATTGCAGGATATTATGTAATCACCTGGAATTTTGGGTAATTATTATTCCAAGCACTAAAAATAATAGTGTACATGGTATTGAAGATCTTGACTGAGTGATTCATAAGTTAAACTTTTCCATCATTCGCCAGTTTACATGTTATTAAACTTTCACATACCTATCATGAACTTTTAGATAGTCCCATTTTCTTTCCCGACCATTCTAATATTCAACAAAATAAAATAATTCAGTGAAATTGTCCAGATTTTCTAGACATTGTCCTTATTTTGACCTTAAGTCATTGAGAGAGTGTAGATTTAGGAGTAAGAAAGAAGACCCTGTTTGGCTGTATAGTATTTTTAAGTATATGTTGTAGTTGATTTTCATCTCAGGTAAATTTCATTTTTCTTTTGTTTCAATGCCATTAGCATACATTAACATGCCCGAAAACAAAAGAAAAAGAAAAATTACCTGTGATAAAAAATTAACTACAACTTATTATTCATTCAAAATATTTTCCTGATTCTGATTGGCTAAAATCACACGATAACCAGTTACTGATGACCAAATTTGGAAGAATTTTGTGTTTAGCCAGGAACTGACATCAAAATGCAGCGTTCTTACAGGTTGATGCAACGTTAAATGAGAAGATCTGGGGACCAGGTTGAGTTGTTTTGGTTGTGAACTTGAAAAATGGCGGACATTTCACTCGTTTCAAGAGTAAGAACTAGGCGAAAAAATAACTAAAAACATGGCAAGAACAGCAAGAAGACAACTCGAAGGGCAACATATGCTATTTGGAGAATATTTGCGGAGCTGAACAACCCTAAACATGCACTATCGTGGATGAACTTAACATCGATGGATCGCTGGAGGTAAGCATGTGTTAGCCATGTTTTTAAACTAGGAATTGTTTTGAATGAATAATAAAACAATTATTGAATTCAGCTTTCATGTCATATGAAGAATTATGGAGATCGCGAAGGGTGTTATCCGGCTCAGCCTATGGCCTCGACGGATAACAACCTCCTTGATCTCCATAATTCTTCATAAGATACTCAGCCTCATTCATTAATTGTTAAAATTATATATATTCTTAAAATGATTACATTTTTGGCCCTTAGTTGTCAGTGCTCTAGCCAGTTATATGAAGCTTGCCTCAACTCTCCAAGGGTTCTAGGAATTTCAGAATAATGCATATAATATGAACAGTTTAAGAGGTAAACTTATATTATGTGATTATTCATCAAAAGACATACTCATCATGTTCTTTGATATAGTCCCATTCTCTGGAAAGACCATTCTTTGTCAAAAATAGAAAGAAAGTCTTAATTAATGCTAAAACTGTCCTACAGATGTGTTTAGTTGGAATCGTAAAAACAACACTACTGGTAAGTAATATGTAATATTATGTAAGGTCTTTTCTACCCCTGACAGGATATTTGTAAGAAATTGGGATTGGTAATATATTAAACTTTGAACAGGGAAAGTCACAACCTTAGCTTTAAAGTATTTTGCTCAGCTTTGCCAAATTTCTATAGCTTAACTTCAGGGCCAAGGCATCACATGGCTTGGTATCAGACAGTGTCTTCTGTACTTTGTACGCGAATAATTTTGTGCTACAGTAAAGGGTCTGAGCCAGAATGTAGGCTTCAGAAACAATTGCCTGAGAGGGGAAGGGAAGGAGTACTCAATAAACATTTTGCCAGGGTGGTGTGATATGGGTGTGTTGTCCTACACCGTAAAAATGACACACTTACAACCCATTACTCCGCAAAGAGTTTGCTACTCCTCTGTATAATCTGTTCCATGAAAAAACCTTAGACAAGAATTTTTTTGTGAAGCAACTTCAGAATACTCTGTCACCTTATGAAATGCTTCAGGGCCCTTTACTTAATAGCCACCTCCCCAACCCTGTCCCCAACCCCACCCCGCCCCACTTCCCCCCAAGAAAAAAGGTCAAAAGTACTGACACAGCACCCCCATCAGACAAAAAAAATTAAGAAGACCCTCTCAGAAAAATCTCATCCATTGTGGGAGGGGGATATTAATAGAATAGCCCCAACCTCGTACCAAAGTCAGAGGACTCTTGGTACAAGATTGGAATGGCCCTCAACTGGGGCCCTCAAAGCGAAGCGTTACCCCCATAACACAGTTGGACAGTATTGTTAATTAGCGAGGTGCAAATAATTGGCCGGGTATTCCGAAGTTTATCCAGTGTTAATTATTTTCGAAAGGCATTTTGAAATCTTTATTTGACAGTACTGACCTGATTGAAGACAACTCTGGAAGGCTGAATGAAGCGTGAGTTCACACAAGGCTCAACTCTCATTCCAGTGATTTCTAGTCTATCCATTTTCATCAAACACGAGAAAAAACCAAAGCTAGCGCTAAAGTTAATCAGTAGCACCTTAGAACGCAGGATTTCAGTCGGTCTTGCCGCGATTAATCTGCGCATCTGAATAGTGGAGATCCCTAGGCACTCAAACACTTAGCTCATTGTAGTCAGCGGTAATTAATTAGCCAATATGATCGTCATGTATCATTCACAGAGTTTGGTTTTCATAGAAAGAAAAGTAAAAGAGAAGTAGCCTGAGTATCAGGCGTTTCTGGGGGAAAAGGGGAAAGATCTGAAATCTCCTCTCCCCTAGCCCCTTAGGAAGGCCTGACACTCAGGCTAAAAGAGAAGAAGTAACCCACCCAGAGAGTAATTCAAAAGATGACATTTGTGGGAGTTGTGACTTGGGAGTTGTGAGACTTCGGAGCCAAGAGTTGTGTTCTAAAAGTTGTGAGAGTTGTCTGCATCAAACGCACCTGAGATTTTGCCCTAACCCGGCCTTACCCTTTTATATGCCATTTTTGACAAAAATAGACCCCTCTCGTATTTTGACCTCTTTGAGTGGTTCTCCTCGAGTCTCGATTTTTTCGAGGCTTGTGGTGTATTTTTGAAAATCGAGTCCATTTTATTTAGTACGAACATTGACCACAAAGGACTGCAAAGGACCGCAGACGAATATGCCGCAGAAAGTAGGATCTATTAAGACCTGATCAGCAAAAATAACAAGTAGACATTAAATTCTGCAAGCAGAATACTGAAAATTACCTGAAAATTAACTTTGCAAGACATCAACACGACACCGAAACAACTAAAAACAGAGCGGGATTGTAGCCAAAGACAGCTGCAGTAGATCAGTATGGCGTAACAATCAGGAAATGAGAAAAATGAGCCGCACACTCTGATTTAAGCCCTGACCTAGTTTTAGCGGACTAATGATGAACGCGTATATCTTAATGTGGCAGACCACTGAACGGTCCGTTATGATGGGATGACCGGCGCACAAGCCGAGAGGTTAACCAAGGCTAGTACAACGAAAAAAAAACACAATACGTAAGGCAACTACTATGTAAGGGTAATCAGGGCAGCCTAAGCAGTAGTGATCAACTTCATTTACTCTAAAAGACTCTTTAGATATACCCTATTCCCAGCTCCCAAAGCATTGAGATTTCCCTCCCCTAATTTAATACTTACTTCTGGGTTACTTCTCACTCAGGGCAAAATGTTGGCTTAGGGGATGGGTAGGTGGGTAGTTTGCCAGAAACATATCCGAGATTTCTCTTTTTAAGATCAGGCTTGGTCCTTATCTTTTTCCATCTTCGTCTCCATATTTGCACTGTGGCACAAACTCTTCGGCCTTGTATAACCTGAGTGCCGCAGGGGTGAAGAAGGACGGAAAAATATTAAAGGGAGGGGGGGGTTCCCTTTTGCTTTTTTCTCCCCCTCCCCTACCATCGCCTTTTTGCGCCTTGGACACAGCCTAGACCTTGTGCATAACTGGAATTCCCCCATTGACCACAGGTGGCGCGAGATTTTATTTCAAAATCACAACAAAATTCTCGAAAGTGATTGGCTACTTCTTAAACACTGCTTACTGAAAAATAGGTGCAGGATCTCGTCTAGACTGTTAAGAAAACTTATAAGGACTGGTGAATCGTTTCATGAAAAGGAAACGACAGCACCATTATTTCTAGCCCAGTCCCACACTTCTTTCAGGGTCTGAACTGATAAGTGGATCTTTCTGTTACTGAGAACCTAATTGGGTCCCCCGCTCTAACTTTCGCGCAATAATTCGATTGGAAACGCTTGCTACGCAGGCTACATACGGCCCCTTTTGGTAAACATGAAAACAGTTCAGGCACCTTTGAAAAATTTTGTTACCACTAGCTGAAAGAGGTAACCTAAGAATTTTGAATTTCAGCGATTGCAACGGCCGCCGAAAGTTCAAAGCATTGTATGAGAAAAGCAACTTTCGTCACCCAATAGGCCACTTGCACTCCCTTTAAACAATGAGTTGGAATCTTGTTGATGCCAAAAATTGACAGAGCATATAAAAATTATCTTACACCCGAAATTTGAGAGGAAATGCATTTAAGGGAAATATTTTATGGCACTTTGATTTACCAACAAAGTAGTATGATTTGTATTGGCCGCCCTGTTGGAGGGAATACTCTTGTCCTCCAACATGGCTGCCAAAACTACTTTTTACTTATATCTTGATAAATGTTTGATAGTTGCGCTCAGATGTGCTGTAAACGTTACCACATCATCTTTTCAACATTTTCCTTGAAGATGCAAAATTTGTGTTCAGAAAGAAGTAATTCATAATTGCAAAAATCACATTTTGGTCGCTTGACCATTCACAAACTTACTCATTTTAAGCAGATGGTAAGGGTTTGAAAAACCAAAATCACTATTATTTTGTTTAAGATATGACCCACTAATCGTTTTTCGAAGGCAAAATCATATAAGTTTCATCAGTTCATAAAAACGATGTCACATGACCTCCTAGTGCAAATGTCCTATCACGCTTGCATTGTTTTCCATACAAATCCTCGTAAATTTGGAAATTTTCAAAACTGTCATAAAATATTATCTCCTTTTAATTCATAACAGGCAATTTGAGCCCTTAAATGCGTAAGGGAAAGATTTAACGACAGTTAAAAAATTTTAGAATTTACAAGGATTTGTATGGAATACTTTTCAAACGTGACTGGCTGGCAAGAGTTGTTTTTCTCATAAAGGTCCTTCTAATTTTCGGCGGCTGTTGCAATCGCTAAACTTTTGAGATATATAGCTGAACCGAAAGTTGATCACGTGATCAACTCATGCAAAGGGCCGATCCTTGGGGCGGTCCTTGTTTCCTTTTTCTACCCGAAAAAAAAGAAAAAACAAACAAACAAAAAACACAAACTGATAAAAAACCCCTGATCACAGGTTAAGCCTAGCCGGCCCCACTGTAAACCTTCATTATGGGCATATCAACAATTTTTGTTTTCAGTATACTTCAACGTTCTCTTATTCCTTATTTAAATTTTCACGTGTCAGTTGTAATATCATACAAAGGTGGACGTTGAAAGCATACTGAAAACAAAAACCGTCTAAGTAGAGATATTTCCCTCACTACTTCATGCAACGGTTTTTATTTTCATATACTTTTAACGTTCACTTTTTCTTATTTAAACTTTCACGTGTTATTGTAATATCATTTTGCACACTATAAGATGTTTTAAAAAACATTTTAGCTTAACCTTATCATTCTATGTAAGATCCTGAAGAAGGAAGGCCGCGCCTTCCGAAACATTGGTGACAAAAAATATATATTCCCCTGTAACTGAAATCAGCCTTACTTCTTTTGTTCCACATTTCAGCTTAAAGCTGATTAGATCCTTTCTTGGAATCCGGTCCTTGCTTCCAAAATTGAATTATGACTGTTATGACAGAAGCATCATATGCCTCTGATCCTGAGCGTTGCCTTTACCGGCCTTTGTCTAAAAAAAAACGCTTATGTGCTTTTCCTCACCTTAATAGTGATTTGGGCGGGGTTGACCTGGTCTTTCTTCCTTGACTTTCGGCAAAAGGAAGTTGCGTAAGAATCAGTGGTACATATTTTTTTCTCTATGCTGCTTGTTAGATCAAGGTTCATGAAAACAGGTAGCAACAGGACTTAGTATTTAAACAAATAATGAGGACTTCCGCATGGTCTTGTTCGTTTGTTTTTTTATAGGGCGCATGATGTGTTGCTTGGTTGTGTCTTGTTCTGCTTGCATTTCTCAAGTTCCCGGGTCCAAGTCCATCACTGAGTCGCGAATGAGGAAGCGGGTTTCGATAAAAGCAATATACACTCAAACAAACAAGACCATACAAAGTAAACTCAAGAAAAATAACGTGCAATCGAGCGGAAAATAAACAGCTTTTGGTCGCATTTCTTTTGAAACGATCATCTATGAAATGGCTGTAATTACGTAACCTCGTTTGTCCAGTTTTTACATCATACGATATCAAGGGGAAATTACGGTACTTGACGTTATGCCGGAAATGGTGGTGGGGTGACTGTGACGTGGGCATTGGGTATGGTATTCGGTAAACGCCTCGCCTAGGGTTTGTTGTATCTTGCGAAAACATTTGACCTTTTCGATTTTTCTTTCCATTGAAACTTGACCCTCTTTAAGGTTTCATAAAAAATCTAAAGAATGAGAGGTCAACATCTGAAAGGTTCTGTCTGTGTTAGAAAGTGTATACGAAACATCTCTTTGTACTACAAGTGATTGTATTGTTTTCTACAATTGTCCAATTTCATACGCACTTTTTCAAGACGTGATATGTCGATATATAGATAAGTTAGTTCACGTGTGCACTTCATGGTTGTTTGGAAGATTTCGTTTAATCCTCTTTCAGACCTCGAGCACGAGCATTGCAATGTGCAACAATCGCCGGATTTAGCCGCAGCTTACTTTCCCTGTTTGTACACGTAACTTACTATGTAATTTCCTGTAGGGAAATTTTGAGAAGAACTTTATGTCTATGGAAGAACCTCGAGAATTTGAAAAATATAAAAAAACGGAAGCCGTTGGCGGTCGGAATCATCTTATTAGTCAAGAGGAAACCGAAAACACTTTTATTAATAATATACTCAGTCGCCAACGAACAATACTACTGCAATCTTGTTTACAGTACTGGATTTTAATGATAGGTGCTTGCTTATCTTAAGAGTAGCAAACCGCACTGTTTTAAACGGAGTGAAATGATACTTCCTTCGGCTCACAAAAAAATCCATCAAAAATATACGTGTGGCAACCTGAAGACATCTTATACAATGTTTGTTGGTTTGAAAATTGAGAAGTAGTTTTCTACAGGAAATTACGTCTGAGATCAGATGTTTCGGAGAACTCTGGAGACGAGGTTGTCGAATAACCAGACACTAATAAACTTGCTTGAGATCAAGAAGACAAAAATATTCCGGATGACTATCGCAATTTAAATTCACCGCAAGCAACAATTTTACTCGAAATCATTCTCTCTCCCCGGGTCAAATTAGGCCTTATATAGTCGGTAAAATCGTTTGCGGCTTAACTTATTGTCACTTTTAATTAGAGAAGTTGAAAATATTTAAACAAATGTGGTAAGGATAAGGTATGAGTCATGCGAGGGTGTGGAGATCACAAAAGGCGAACAAAAGAGAGCGAATATC